TACTGTTGTTTTGATTTTATATTTTTTGTACATATAGTGTGAATGTTATCCTACCTCATCATAGCTAATGGCTAAGTGACAGATTTTTGTAATATTCAATAAAAAAAAAATTATTTATTACTAATAAAAAAGGAAAAATAAATCTAGCGCTCCCCAATATTTCGGATCTGAATACTTTTGCTATGTAGAATAATATAGTATCTTAATTATATCATATTTTTTTTTTAATTTAAGAAAGGTAGAAAACTACATAAAGTTTAAGATTGATTTAGTGAAAAAAAAAAATACTACTTATGAAAAAAGAACAAAAAGACAAAACAAGTTTTACAATATTTAAATCATATCAGATTTTTTGAATTTATTGAAGTAAGGTATGAAATAAAACAAATTTTAAGTTTGACTTTTAATGGAATTTGTGAGAAAAATAAAATTTCTTACTAAAGGAAACGAAAAAAACAATCCAATCGAATTTTCCAATATGGCAGCTCTGAAAAGGTGGTGTTTTCCTGTATAGGTTAATATAATATTTAAATTATATAACATTTATTTTGTTCATGCAATTTTGTACCTTAACTGAGGTATAAAACAAAACAAAGTTCAAGTTTGATTTGGAGAAAAATAAAATTCAGTCACCGGATTAGGGTCTAGTTAAAATAATTTTAAATGAACGAGAAGCATAGTATTATTATCAGAAAAGAGATTTAACATGAAGTATAGTTTCAAATGGGGAGGGGGGATTCAGGATAAATTTGGGGCTATGTGACCCTTTCCATCTCAAAGGGCTATAACTCAACGTTCGCCGAAGGGAATGAAATAAATCTAGCCCTACAGTGGCGAATGCTTCTCGACATTATGACTTCTAGGTATTTTCCTCAATGAAATATTACTGATCAAACTTATCTAGACGAGGCGACAGAAAAAAAAAAATTTAAAAAATAGACAAAAATATTTTTCACCTCTAACTATATTAAAAAAAAAAAGTTTCATAAATAGCTAAGTAGAAGTAAAAATCATAGAAACGCAAATGATTAGACACATGGATTTATAGAAGGTGTTTTCCTGTTAAATATGACCCAAATATTTGATGATTTATTTGGAAAAAAGTACCATAAATTATCCTTTACACGCTAAATCCACCGTAAAAATCTAGAAATTATTTACATTTCTTTTACGTATTTTTTTTATTTTTTCATAAGTTTTTTTATTTATTTAGAAATATAATAATCTGTCAAGTGGACAATAATTATAGTGAGATATGAACACATTCATACCATATATACAGAAAATATAAAATTAAAAAAAGTAAAATAATAATCAAAAACTATGTACAATAAAAAATAAAATAACCTGAAGATAAGTGAATCAAAAACTCACTCATATCTATATACAATATATACAATCAGGTTGGGAACCCCAAGCCAGGCTTGTCCCTCCAACTATAGAGGGAAAAGCAAGACTACAAGAGATCCCTGCGCTACTCTCTCAACTGCGTCACTGGTGCTAAAGCCAGTGGAGATGGATTGTAATAAGAAACAAATTCTAAAATGTAAGAATATTTACATTTAATAACAGCAGATAATATACAAAACAATAAATCGAAAACTGGATATGTCCAGGAGATATTTATAGTTAATACATACGTTTGTTTAAAGAATTATATTTATTAAAGTAGAAGAGAAAAATGTAATATAACTATGCTAATTACCATTGTTAACGTGAGATGTACTCTCTCTCTGGTTAGTTATTTGTTAACTGGTATTTTAGGACATTTTGCTTTTGTTGTATTTTATAATTATATACAATTAAAATATTTTTCTACATTTATTATCATTATTTTTTTGCAGACCCCACCCACATAACCTCCGTGCCTTCATATCATGGATATTGATTGACCAGTTTCAGCAAACATTTATTTCTCCTATTATGTTAGTACTCTGATCCATCTTTCCTAAGTATACAAACATAATGGTACAATCTTTACGGGAGCACATATAGCCTGGATGGGATCATCTAACCTAACGTTGCTTCTAACCACGGTCTCCAAGGTGCAGCGACTGGTCACGCATAGCTCCATACAGATTTCTTTGTGGTTAATCTGGCAATGTTCTCACAGACTCACTCGGGCTCAAGGACAGAGACAAATCAGTCTAGATCTATGGATTATGGCTACTAACTAAACTACTTCGTGATTTCCGATTTAAATTACACGGGATAGGGTCATCAGTATTACACCCGGTCGGTGTGAGTTGTTTCGAGTAGCCTAACGGTCTCACATAACTTACTTAATTTTGATTATTTATTATTAGCGCTTTTTGGTTAGTGTTTTTATCTGCTAAGGTGAGCGCATGTGTTGCCATTGGCATGGATCGATGTACTGAAGTATTTTTCTGTCATGGCAATGCCTTGATTGATTAGTCATCAAATTTTCATTTAGATACTTAAATAATTTTAGACTGTTCTAATGATTTGATTTCATTAGTTAATGAATGTATTGCGATTATTTTGAATGAAATTACGCAACAATGGCTCGAGACCATTTACCCCTCAACCCTCGACTCCCTTAAAGCGGAGGTATTAGATTGCTCTGGAGTTTACCGAAGACGAGGGATAGGAACTGACAGGTATTCAACATCGGGAATAACATACTAGCTGGCTGTCATGACTGGTTAGCCGAGTGGAATTTCTGGTCTGTTGAAGGTGACCCTGTAGGTGGATGCCAAGGTGGGGGTTCCGGTCGACTGGGTTCGAATCTCCTCTCCCCCGAGCACCGACCAATATCTTTTAGAAACAAATATCACGGTTTGTTCCTACCATTCAATTCCACCTTTGTGGCAAATAAAACGATACTTCTATATACAAATTCTTTTAATTTATAGATTGATATATAGTTTTATTTTATTTTTTAAATTAGAAAACAAATAAACAGAATTTGCATATGGTTTGTTCGGCTTGGTGACGTTTCTCATCGTCAAGACTAAAAATTTAAAAAATACATCAGGACAATGAGATATAGTTAAAATAATATAAATAAGTCAAGATAAACAGATAGAAAATACACGGAAGATAATCATAATATATATACAACAGTTAAGATAGACATGATTGTGGGCAAAGAAAACCCGTAAATAACTAAGAAGTATACATAAAAAAATTTAGTATTGTTCTTTTTTATAAAGTTCATATTTTACTTCCTATCACTTTATCTTGGCCTATTCATATATTGGATGTATTTTTTAAAATTTTTATCCTGATGATGACCCACATGTTTGGGCCGAAACATCGGCAAACGTAATAAACCATACATAGACTGCTAATCCTTACTGATTGTCATCCTCCTTAATATTTTTAACGTTCATCGAATTTTTTATTATTCTTTTATAATTAAGAATAAATCAAAATAAAAAAATATTGCAAATGGAGAAATATTATTTAAAGTATATAATTATAATGCGCCAAAGCCGCAATCACAAAAATATCAGTGAGAAAGCACATATCACATTAACAATGAATAACAAAAGTATTTTAAGGTGACGAGCTTTCCCTTCCAATAATTTAAGTAATTAATTTAAGTTTATATCAACACTGCAAATTGGACAAATAAAATACAGATAACGTAAACCAAAGCAGTCAAGATAAATACCAGATAGTTATAAACTGTTACTAATATCGTCGTTTTGATAGATATTGCAAGCCTTCTTCAGGGCCAAAAAGAATGAAATCACTATGAAGATGAAAATAATAATATTTGGTTATGTGATTTTCTTGTATAAATAAGTATCTTACAATAGCGAAAAAACTCTGGATAGGGTCGTACAACCTCATCAAGTTTTCCAAGGTGCATCGGAAGGATAAACGTATCCACATGACCGGTCTCTTTGGATCCCACTTGGCAGTGACAAATCGGTCTAGATCCATGGATTATGGCTGCTCAGGGTCAGCAGGGGATAAAGGACCATTATTTCTTACCCCGACACAGACCGTCTAAGGACCGATTCTCTGGGCTGACATCCCGTAAAACTACATCGCGATTTGCAGTTAGAAGCACGGTCGGGGAGTGTTACTTCCAGTAGTCTGACGGGGCTTTAAGACTGCTAGCACGCCCATTATATATAGTAATCGAATCTAACCATACTGCTTTGAAAAGGAAATTGTTAAGTTGTGTATTTAATTATTTATATATATTTTTAATCGTTCTTGAATATATTCCGCTCTGAATGAACGAACAATATTGGAAGAACTTCACGAACATGTTCCATTAACTCCGGTAGTTAAAAGAACCCGAAGAAAGCCCCTTAGATTCACCCTCACTTCCCCCATTAAAATTATCTCTAAACGCTTCGCCGCATCGATCTGTACAGATAGCCCAGCACATAATATAGTATAATATAGACCAACAGTTTACCTGTGCATCCCAGGAAAGTTAATTCTCAGTATCTTGTTTAAGTCCTTAATTATAATTACATATTAAGTTATTAATATAAATTTGATTAATGTATCAATATGCTTAATTAAATATCAGTTACATTTTGGGTCATCATAACTTTATTGATTAAGACTGTCATAAATAGCTTTATCGTCGGTTCATCGCTAAGTAGATAAGTCACTAAGTACATTTTTGATAAAATTAAACTAATAAGAACATAAATTTCTACCTCATTTATCGAAAAAAAATATATTAGGTTACCTAAAATGACACAAACCCTTATTATTTTTTGTTTATCATTAAAATCAATAATTAAGCCTTAAAACACAATTTATTACATATAGATCATCGAGTTTGAAACTTTTCTTGAGATCTCAGCGCTGATTTCTGAGTGGACAAGCTGGGCATTTCCAGAACTCCAATGACATATTTGTAAAAGATCTCACTACCTTTTTCAACCTTCGAAGAGGATTGTATGGATGACCTGAGTTGGATAGTGATTCTCCTAAGCGGTTAGGCTAGTGGATAAGGTTCTGATGAAAACCAGGATAGAATAACGTCAAAGACATAAGAGATATTAAGGATATGGTGTGATGTTATTGTGCAACATAATATGGAGCATTGGCATTTGTATGGAGGACTTGGATACGTTTGTTATTCGAAAATTTAGGTGTCCCCACGTCCCACAGTTCAAGACCGTAGGTCCAGATGGGTTTTGGGAGTATGGTATAATAAAAATTAGTCTTCGTGTTCTTTCTGCTTTAAACGAAATGTTTTGAAATGATTTTTGGAACGGATTACTGTTGAAAGACATTGTTGCTACATTTAAAATCAGGATTTCTATAAATAATATATAACATTTTAACCATATTGAAGTTGACTTAAGAGTTTTGCCCACTGACATCAACAATTGCATAAGTCGCCATATCAAGTATCATCTTGCGGAAGAAAACAGTATATATTTATACCATATTACGAAAGATCAAAAAATGTACTATACGCATAATATACAGAATAGTTTTTTATTTACATGGTTCATAACATACAGTATTAATAAAAATCATTGTTAGTATAAAATCATTCCGTCGTGAGTTGAATTAATTAATTAATATTTATTTGGTCCTTATTTTAACACCTTTATAAATATTTCGATATTATTGTGTTTTTAATTAAGTAGAGAAATATTAAAGTCCCGCAGTTAAGTAAAATAAAAAGGTAATATTTATTAAGTATTAAATTTCAAATATTCGTTTTTTTTTTTAGTTGAATTTATTGATATTATCCTACGTATCCAGTAAATTGAAGCCAGCTCTTCGAACTCTCTATGGTTTTAAATTCTTTTGGAGGGGGGGCCCAGGAATAGATTTAATAAACAGGTACTTGTTCCGTCCAAAGCTTGTTTTCAAAGTCCGATACTTTCTTTTTTTTCTGAAAAAAATTGAATGCCTGAAATTTTTTATTTCCTCCTCTTCCAGATATTGCTTTCGTATTTTTTTTTATTTTTATCGGATACTATGTTTTCCCCGGTGAAAAATATTTTTCTTTAAACTCGATGATTGAAGCTTAATATTACAAAAATATTGTATATCAAGCAGATCCACTTCGAGCTCGGTATGCTTTCAAATAATCTTAATTAAAAAATGCATATATTACTAAGAAATATGTATATGTATAAATATAAAAACATTAATTAAAATTAAAAAAAAAAAACTTGTTTAATTTAAAACATGTAATTTTCTCGTTTATTATCACTGATGAAAAGTGAATACTCTTTTGATGTTTCTTTTTTTTCTATCTTATTTTGTACTACATTACATCAGCTTTTTTTTTTTTTATCGAAAAACTTTGATTAAAAGAATGAAACGTGGAATTTCATATAATAAAATAATTGGAATTTTCTTTTCTAGCTACAATTTTTATCGAACAGTTAAGATAGTCATTAGTTCTAAATTCATATACGAATATTTAGATTACTATTTTTTAAGCTTTATATCCATTGATGAATCATATGGGTATATCTTTACATAGGGAATTCTTTTCGATTACCACAAAATCCAAAATGTAAAAAAAAAATAATGACTGCTTGCTTATTGCGTCATATATCGAATGTTAGGCAATACAAAAAAGTCACTTAACGATTCTTAATAATAAAAAAAAAATAAATAACCGTCGACCATCATTAAGTGATATAAACTGTTAAATTTACTTCACGTGTTTTAGTTCATTTTCAGTAACGAACCATTTTTTTTTTTCAATCGGACAACAATAAAAAAAAATAAAATAATGAAATTTTCCTCTTCAAAATTAATTGAATTTATTTCCGTATTATATTTCCTACTATCAATTTACTATACAATTACTTAAACGATTGTAAAATATATGTAACACTTAATTGAAGTTTTATTTCCTAAATAAATAATGTCCCTTAAATTATAAAATTATTTTTATAGGTTTTTAATTGTTTTCTTATTATTTAACTCTTTCTTATACTTTTCAAACTCTTTCTCCCTCTACCCTAAAGGGTCATTGGCGTTTTCAATATTTAAACCTATTAAAATAAGAATTAAATAACAATATCAGGATAATATTTATTATATCAATATAATATACACAGTTAATTTAATTAAATATTATAAATTGTTTGATTATTTTGTCCGATATTCAAATGCATAACATTTTATTAAGTATTTTTCAGACCCTTTTTTTTTTTTTTAATCATATTTTGTTATAGATTTATAAAAATAAAAATCGATTATATCATCTCTTAATCCACATTTTTCTTATTTTGCAATATTTTCTAAACCAATTAATCTGTATTAATGGTTCTCGATTTAATGTATTATTTAAGAGGATTTCATTTTATTAATAATTTATTTATTAAAAAATAAAAAAAAAGGACACCCCTTAGCAAGATTATATTTTAAGACCATCCATTCAAAAGGAGCTCTCCTAAGAGATGAAAAATATTTCATAAGTGATGGATATTATAAAAATTGAATTTGTCTTTAGAAAACTCTCTAAAAAATTAGGTTTCCTTCCTCAATTTTATTTAATAACTTTTATTAAATTAAATCGATGAATCAATGGCCTTATATACATTCCCTCCTATCGAACCGCCAGGAATCACCTCGAGCACTTAGTGAAATGACATCGACGTTGACACAAGGTCTGACCCAGTTAAACGTTGACAAGACAAATAGTGGAAAAACAATAAAAATTATCCGCCGCCAACTCTCAAGCTCTTAACACCTTCCCGCGATAGCATCGCCCTTAAATCCCTTAGCTTCTATCAAACACTTAACATGGATTTAGTGCCTTAAAGTCCTACACGAAATTGATGAGGCGTCGCTGAAATACATCACCGAACATCCCATGATTTAGTTATGGCGGAACAAAGTGTTAATCCCTTTCGAAATCTTATATCACTTATAAACTGCTTAACTGAGGGACGATAGTTCATGATTTTATCAAATCACAATCTTATAAATCAGGATAATATAAACAATATAAAGTGATACTCCTAGCTGAACACACCTCTCTGAAGTTATAATTTTTGTCTAAATATTATGTAACTTCCATAATTATCTATATCTTTTTGTATCTTGTCCGTTCTATCCCTGAAGAAGACCTGCAAAGTCGGGTCGAAACGTTGGCATAAAATAGTTTTGCCACTATTTAGCCTATTTATGACCGTCACCCCGGACCATCTCCTTCCTTTATAATGCAACTATTAAATATTTAATATAAAAAACGTATTCCCTACCTGTTTTTGAAGTTAGCAAGCCAACCTTTTTTTCGGAGGAGTCCTCGCCGTTAAGGCTATACGGGGTTTTCCCGGGCCAGGAGGTGTGGGCGGAGATTTAAAAGACGCATTGGCACCGGGACGCGAACTCGTGAGTATTTTTATAACATTTGTCATATATTAGGTTGCCGGGCAATGGTGGTGCTGTGCACACGCGTTAGCCCATTCGGCCACCCCACCCACAATTAGCAAGCCAACGTCTACTGGCATCAAAATCTGCTTTGTCAAACTTAAAATAAACTTCGTTTTTTCTGTTAATATAATAATAATGCTTTATTTATTCTGGAACGAGTCTCTTTAGAATAATATAGAGAGACAAAAATGTGGGCTAAGGAGCCTCAGAGATACATAAACAGGAATATAGTTTGATTAAACAGTCCAAAAAATTTAAAAAAAATAATAAGAGAAATTATAAGTTACTTCCTAATTTACATCAGTTAATAAGAAAAAAATGCAAATAAACATGAAGTAAACATGAATGACTGCATAGCTATAATTTTTTTTCCCGCTTAGAAACACCACAATACCATTTCGACACTACCACATGAAGTAATTCCAGTAATAAGTACTATGAAACAGAGCCATTTTTATTCCATCCCACCTCAGTCGATGTTAACATATTTTTTCTTTCTTGTTCGGATGACTGAGGGTTTCAGATAAACGAGAGCGTCCGGTGTGTTTTTTTCTAAATCATGAGAATTTTACATAATTGGTCTCTGAAATAACTGATTCTGTTATGAATAAAATATTTAAATGATTACAATTTAGACAGATAAAGCTGTTACCGTTTGCAAAGATTTATTGGCCATAAGGGAATAAAGCTTTGGGACCCCAATTTATTGGATCGAAAGGAGTAACTCCTCACAATGAGGACATTTATTCGAAGCAGGGACTCCATAAAGAGGCTAGATCCTTTATGTAGACCGGAGATCGGGGATGTTCACCCTCTCCGAGGAATAACGCTTCGGCACAAAAAAGCATGAAATGTGAAGGGGGGAAAAGGGGGGAGAGAACCCACCAGGCAGTATTCTGTAGGATTGTGAGGGGCATCACCTTCGGCAGAAAGGCTAGGTTAGTCCCCCTTCCACCCTCAACAGAAGCCGGAAAACTTTCTAGGGGTTGGCACTCATCACAATCCCCCTCCTTTCTAAATCAAATATGATAAAGCATCATCAGATTAATTCTTAATTGAGATAGAAACCAAAAGATTTCGGATGAACTAAGAATTAAATTTGAGGATTTTTTTAACATTTACTCATGACATTTACAACTGTATTAATAAATAAAATAAATTTAGTAAATTTGATAACAGAAATTAATAACATGAAATCATTTGATGAGAAACTACCCACTGGTAGCACTCTAAAAAAATGTATTTTCAATAGATCTCGATGCCATCTTCTTTTCAGGCGCCTCGGAGGGTTATCAGGGATAGAAGAGGAAGCAAGGTTAGAGAGGAGAGGATTCGGATGGTTCTGAAGTTTATTGTGGAAGGATTGGTATCTGGATTGGGCCGAATCGGAAACATTAAGGTCATTATGGATTATTTTATTGGTGACAAAGTAAGGAGCATTGAGGATTTTCCGAATGATTTTGGATTGTAAGGATTGGAAACGAGAGGAATTCGATGGCTTAGTGGAGCCCCAGAGCTCAACTCCAAAGTCCAAATAGGTCTTATTGTAGTCATGTATATGAGTCTTTAGTAATTAATGGGAAGTTTAGAGCGTTTGTCTAGTAAGTGCTGAAGTAATCGGAAACGTCGAGCGGTTTCTTGTCGTTTCAGTCTAGTATGAGGATTCCAAGTTAGTCGTTTGTCCAGGTGGAGTCCTAGGTATCGGATTTGCTCAGCAGGGATAAGTGGAGTATTGTTAAAGGAAACTGTAGGACAGGAAGTCGTTGGTTTACGACGAAATTTGATAACATAAATTAATAACATGAAATCATTTGATGAGAAACTACCCAGTGGTAGCAGTCTAAAAACAAAATGTATTTACAATAGGAGATCTCGAGGCCAACTTCTTTTCAGATGCTTCGGAGGGTTATCAGGGATAGAAGAGGAAGCCCGGTTAGAGACGAGAGGATTCGGATGGTTCTGAAGTTTATTATGGAAGGCA